TTGCTTGGAAACTGGTTATTAAAGCCTCCGATGGCAGACAAAAATTACCAAACGAGACAAAATAATGGGTTGTTTAATTAACGCAACTTTTTAATTTACATCAACACGAGTTTCGAAGTGGCACGCATGCTAGTCTTTTCATAAGCCTATCCACTCCTTCAGTGAACCTCAGGTAGGATCAGCTTTAGACGTAGCATTTTGTAAATATGTTTCTTTGTACTAAAATAGAATTTTAGTTAAAAATTCGACCGTACACTTTCTGCAGCTTTAGTTCTCTTGAATTTTAATTTTTTTATTCGGTTTTCTAGAAACTCATGCTTGTTATTTTTCATTCAACAGACATGGCCGTTAACTGCGGTTTTCTGTTGCTGGTTTTGGTTATCTGCTGTGGCTGTAAGTTGTATTTCTCTTTCATCCATTTTATTATGGTCGGCCCGGCGCCACCCACAGTTGCCGCCAAATGTCCGCAGAAAACTTCTAAATTTACCCTTCCGAAAAGAAAAGTTAAGACTGTCACTGAAAATTTAACCTTTCTCCGTCACACATGCATAAAAAATGTAAAAATTGTTTTCCACCTAGCTTACCACTTTGTAATTTTATTTATCACCGTTCTTTTTGTGACTTTTTCGTAGATTGGGACTTATTTAGTTATAAATCAAACTCCCCACATCCATCTAATCATTGTACTCAGGATAGTTTTACGTTTGCTACTTATATCGAAGATAATCAACCAATATCAGGCAATTGTCTGGTATATATTCACGTTGAACGCTTAATTTCTATCGTACCCCTGGATGAGTACATTGATCTATTAGCATTATTACGTAAAGGAAGTTAATACCGATCTACCGAGCTTTTGCCACTGCCCAAATGCAGTTTTTGTTCAAAGGTTCTTTTTTCTTTTTATGATCAGGAAGATGATGAGCTTTGTTTCTCACCCCTTGCTCCTGTTTTGGTCAACCTTATCATGGGGCAAAATAGGAATGTTTGGATAGACAACTAAAAGTATTCAAGAATTTTGTTCTATCAAAGATATGTCGATAACACTTTTTGTTCATTTGTTCGTGCGCTGTCTACAAATTTTCTTATGATGTAATGCCTGTTACATCGGCGAAACAAACCGGCATCTTCAATGGGCATTCGTGAGCATCTGAATAGGGACAGTAACTCACATATTTTGCAACCTCTACAAGCAGACAGACTTTACTCAAAGAACTGCTTTTCTATTGTGGATTCTGCATCCAATTGTGTGAAAATACTGTTCATATCTGCTAGGAAAATCCCACGTTAAATGACCAGCTCAAACACGCTGACCCAACTCTTTCATTCAATATTGCTGATTTTTCTGTTACGTTAGTGTCACGTTGTTTAATCTTATTTGATCATATATTTTTGTGAAATAATTGTAAATAATTTTATTTATACTGTTTTTCTTTGCCGTGTATTTAGTTTCCGCTTAAGAGTTGTTACATGTCCCGCGAACTTAAATGTTGTACGTTAAAGGGGCTTTGACACGGATTTTAACAGATTTTCGAACAG